GTACAAGTTTTATAGAACAGTAAAAATAAATGTATATTGAAAGTTGTAAAAATTAACAACTTTCAATCTTTCAAATAAATAAGTACATTTCAATAGTGCTTGGAAATGTCCAAGAACAGGAGATAGATAAATATCTTTTTGTTATACTCTTTTGTAAATTACGATTGTTTCAAGATTAAGTTTTTTGAAGCCAGCTTTCTCAAGGGTTTGAATTTTTTGTTTTTATTTGTTTTTTAATTGCGATAATTTGTTTTAAAAACCAGAAGACCATTTTGTGATGCATTTTACAGAAATTATGTTTTTATATTAGATAAAAGAGTAAAAACTAGCAAATGATGTCAATTAAAATTTAAAAAGCTTTTAAATTGTTGACAACTTCATCGATATTAGGCCTATCCTCTGGTCTTTGGCTCCAACAATTTTGTACTAATTTAAAATGTTTTTCACACATTATTTCCTTCTTTTCAAGTCTTTTTCCAGAAATCACAAATTCTGCAATTTTCCATGGAAACTTAAACTTTTCTTTTTCGTACGCTTCTCCCCATTTGAACGTTTCGTACAAAGTTATTCCAAATGAATAAATATCGGCGCTTTTCTTGTATTTTTCTTGTTTTAGCACTTCAGGAGCCATATATACAGGTGTACCAATTCCTTTAGTGAAAGTCATGTTAGTCATCAACAAGTTGATATTTCTTGCACTTCCAAAATCAGTCAATTTAGCATTAACTTTGTCGTCGAGACCAAGTGAAAACACAAGCAAATTGTCTGGTTTGACATCTCTATGTACAATGCCATTTGTGTGTAAGTAGAGCAACCCATTTGCCATATCCTTCATAAACTTAATTTTAACTCCTTTTTGGATTGTTATTTTACTTCTGTTCTTTATCAAGTCGTTCAAACTTCCATATTGTGCAAATTCAGTGACCATACAAATCTTATTTGGTATAAATACAGCACCATAGAAGTGGACAACATATTCACTGCGAAATTTGTCTAACATTAAGACTTCTTTTTCAAACTCATTACTTTTTGTTTTGTCATTTCCAAACTCTTTCATCTTTTTAATTGCAACTTCATTACCTCGGAATTTCCCTTTGTAAACAACACCAAATGAACCTTCGCCTAAAAGTTTCTCTTCAAACAATTCGTCTGGGTCTAATCGAGTTGACATCTCCGTCTCAGCTTTTGTTTCTATGTAAATTTGTGACGTTTCTCCCTTCTTTAGATTAGCAGAGACCAATACAATTTTGTCTTCTATTATACACGAGTAATTTGGTGTTAAGAAGACTTCAAATTCGATTGCTTTTCCTTTTGGAATTGTCATGATTTTTGGTTCAGTACGAATGGAGTATTTTGTGCAATTATCTTTTAGACTGAATTGCACTTTAATAACATTTTTACCGACATTTCCAACACAAATCAACTCGCGGCTTTCAATAGCAACTGGTATTTTAGTTATCCCTTCTGTCTTTCCACAGAATTCGATACATTTCTTGTTGACTACGATATCAACAATATCAGTTTTGACAAATTCGATGTTCGTTTTCTTTATATCAAATAAACAACACTTCTCTCGCATTTTTTCTGTCTTGTGGTGGTTCAAAATCGCAATGAAAAAGTAGATAGACATAGCGATAATAATAACAAAGATACTTATTATAAACAAAACACATAAGAGAATGACCCACCATACAGCTTGGGCAATACATTTCGTCTTTGTGTAGTCTGGAACATGCCAAAAAGTACATTTGGTACACTTTGAATCCGAGACTTTAATACAATTATCCACTTGACTCTTTGATACACATTCAGATGATTCATTTAAAATAAAGTCGTTTAAACACGATGTGCACTTCCCGACAAAATTGCAAATACCACAATTTGTCGTTTTGGAGTCACAGGAAGAACAAAATTGATTTTCAACGAAATAGCCAAAGGAACACTTTAAACACCCACGAACACTTTTGTCTTCACAATTTATCAGATTATCGTACGAAATACAAGCACTTGAATTTGTAAGTAAAAAGTGGTTCGACTCACAGAATGTACATGTTTTGATATTTCGACATTCAACACAATTCTCCATGCAATTTTCACATTTTCCATCTTCGTTTCTGAACGTTTTCGATACACAGAGAGCACATATCGAAGTGCCTGTCACCACTTTGTTGCAGTTGTCTGACACATCAGATCCTGAAACACAAAACCCATTCTTGACTATCAAATTGTTGTCACATAATATGCAATTTGTATTGGAAATGCACGTTAAACATTTTTCAGAACATTTTAAACATGCGTGGTTTTCAGTAAGATAAAACGTCGATTTGCACCGAACACAACGATCGCCTTTGAAATACAAAGTCTTACAATCGTTCACTGTTTGTGGTGTTGAGACACACATCTGTGTATTATAATCAAGATAAAACCCTTTCACACAATTCACACATTTGCCATTCAAATTTGTAACATCACAATTGTTGATATTTTGAATGCAAACATTGTTTTTGATGAAATCGGATTTGTCTGAACAGCCACTACAATACGTATTAAAACTTTCTGTACACTCACTGAAATCGGGTGATAAACACAATCCATCAGTATTAACTACTCCTGTTAATCCACAAGATACACAACTGTTTATTGTGCATTTTTGACACAGATTACCAAAAGTCTCATTACATAGTTTACATGTGTTGTTAATTAAATAATACGAGGGCTCACAAACGAGAGGAACTTTGTTGTTTGTTGTTATAACCCCATTCAGTGTCGAACAAGTTTCTTCCGCATTCAAAATTTCATTTGATTTGCATATTTTGCATTTGGTTTCT